TAGCTTTCATTGGTCAGAATAGCTTCTGCATGAAACACTAAGATGGGGATCCGCCTGCAGCCACCAGTCCACACGATGCACGGGTGTTCCCTGTAACAGCAAGAGATGATTAACACAAAAAAGAAGTCAAGCTTCATGCACACACAGTGCATTACACACTCCAGAAGTATCCCACCTACCTCCTCACAACAAGTTATTCAATTCTAGGCTTGCATATTAGGCTGCAGGTTGGATGCACCTGTGGGCTATTTTAAAAGTACTCAGCTATGTATGGGACCTTCAAAATCATCTTCCCTTTCTACTGAGCAGACCATTCAACTGGGGATTCCATCTGATTTGTATTGATTTAAATGGTCAAGCAAACAGCATGACTCTTGAGAGGACCCCCCGCAGTTTCACTGCTACAGGTGTTAACAACTTCTACATCCTGAGATCATTCAAGATTAAGGACAGGAGAATATATAGTACTAGTCCCAGGAAACAAACTCTAACCCTAAACAACCTCCAAAAAACACAGAGCCACTCCCCAATTTAGGGATTATATATCAGTGCACTGGAATCTGGCTTAACCCTTGGACTCTGAAGTAAGTGTGGCAGCCTTCAGGCAGGCAGTGCAGGTTCAGAATCTAACCACACAAAAAACCCACCCATACAATAGATGCATTCCAAAACAACATGCAGTCCAGAACCTGTGGCAGCTGCAGGTCCCAGAATGCAATGATGCATCTCGATCAAAGCACTGCACACTTTGAACTTGAGTCTGTTAAAAAGAATGGCTCCAGTCTATTCAACCTAATCCAGCTCTGCACAATTTGCGTGCACACTACACTGTCTTCATTTCAACTGCATGTCAGCACCCTGCTTCTGCTCTTGGGGGGGTTTAAGGAATGTTTAGGATTTTCTTTTAGTTTCTGCACACAAAAAAAAAAACAAAAACCACTCTTGACTTTCAAATTAGCAATGGGGAAAAAAAGCAAAAGATGAATACACTCAGGTCTCTCTTTATGCAAGGGTTGCATTCCCAAAAAAACCTCACATAAAGCAAATCTATTATTACATCCAGTTAAAAGGGATATGGCAACAGCCTCCTTTTTCGCTTCATGGCTAACTCAGGAGGGGGGTTAGGAGATGCACTAGAAGGTCGCTTAGACGGCACTTCACCAAATTCAATAATAACGGCAAATAGATGCACCACAATGAGTGCGAGTAGCGTAGTACTGCATGGAACAATGGACGATGCGAGGCAGGCAAGTGCGTGATAGCATTGCATACCCACCTCACATACACTCCCACAATGCTTCACTCATATCACTGCATAGCCACACTGCATGCTTCTTCACATACAATTGTATTTCTCTCGCACAAAGCAAGTTTCTTTTATAGATAAGGTCGTTGCATATAAGCGAATTCGCACAAAATGAATTTGCATAGAGAAAACCAAGGGTACCCTAACTGGAAGCTTTCTAAACCTCATAAAACTCTCCCCACCTCCTGTCGTCGGGCTAAGCTCCATGGGGCTGTGGAGCTGCTTGGAGCGCAACCTGGATACAGGGAGAGCCAGGTCTGCGCTCCACCTCCCACCACCAGGCTGAACTCCATGGGGCTGCAGAGCCACTCGAAGTGCAGGTCGGCAGCAGAGGTGGGGAGAGCCAGGGCTGCACTCTACCTCCCGCTGCCAGGCTGAGCTCCATGGGGCTCCACAACCCCAGTGGAGCTCAGCCCCATGGCGGAAGGTGGGCAGAGCAAGGGCTGCACTCTGCATCCTATCGCCCAGCTGAGCTCCATGGGGCTGCGGAACCACTTGGAGCGCAGCCTGGTGGCAAGAGGCAGGGAGAGCCAGGGCTGTGGTCTGACAGGCTCCACCGGCCCTACAGAGCTCAGCCCAGCGGTGAAAGGCAGGGAGGGAAAGCCAGGGCTGCACTCCTCACCAGGCTGAGCTCTATGGTGCTGCAGAGCCACTCGGAGCACACCCCTGGCTCTCCCCTGCCTCAAAACTCAAAATGTTTCAAAACTTTCAAAATGTTTCAAGTCCCCTCATTTTGTTTCAAAGCTTTTTGTTTCACTTCAGTTTTGCTGTTTCGAGCTCGAAATGCATTGAAACGAAACGCTTGGCGAAATTTCGCACATCCCTATTAGAATCCACTGCTTAAAACCTTGAGACCACAGACAACAAACCTGTTGCTTTAAGCAAGCAATGCTCAGAGTTCTTATTACTTGCTGCTCAGAGAAACAGAAGCATGAGGAGAATAACAAAAGCAAAAACCAAAGCAGGGGGAACTTCTCTAAATCTACATGGGTCAATCAAAAGAAAGCGACAGACATACACAAAGGATAAGCGAGCAGAGTTCTTTCCTGTAGCTTCTCCAGACCTTTGCTAAAGAAATGTCCCGTTTTTTTTTCTTACTAACAACTCCAGCATACAAGGCTAGATCCAAGAGTTTAAGCTGACAAGGCTGCAGCAGATGCTGGCTGGAGTTCTTTAGGCTGCCGTACCAGGCTGTAATTCATTAGGTGGGGGGAAGAGTATATTTCAAGTTTCCATTAGTGCTCTAGTGCAAGCACTACCATGTGCTCAGGAGCCTCACCTAATAGGTACAGGAAACATTTACCTTCAGTTCCTTTAAGTCCCTCAAGTTCAGCAAAATGGGATGGGAATGAAGCTTCTCAACTCAAATTGTCACTTCAAATCCAAACCAAATAGATAGCAAACCTCCTCATTCCATTCAACCAACATGAAAGAATTTAGCAGCTTCAGTGCAGTTCTCTGCCCTCTCCACCCCCAGCCAACAGCCCAGAACTGAGGCTGTGTAGCCAGTTTCATACATACCTGAACTTGTACCAAGTACCACGCCTGAGAGAAAAAGCCTAAATGTGCTCCCAGAACCTCTCAAAGCCACACCAAACTGGCTACAGTGTCTAATTCCTGGGGCTTGGCCCACACTGACCAAAAATGACTTTGCAGCAGTTCTCCCACACTTGGTGCAGAAGTGACAGACACCTCTGGAAGTTGCTCAGTGCTCTCACCCACATGTTTTGACCCTAGAGCCTGCACCTCCTTGCATCCCCACTTCTTAATCTTTTGTCACCTATGATCAGGTGAAGGGGAGCCATGGGTTTGGTGGCAGACTGTGGCCAAAGATGGGTTGATGCTGCAATAAATACCTGCAATAAACACTTCAAAATGTATTCTAGTAATATGCTTATCTGCGCCCAGTACAACAGCTTAGAGAGAGACACCTGTGAAGACTCCACCTTTGCATGTCTAGGCAGGAATAGACAAGAAAGTACTTGTATAGTAGGGCACATTCCTGGGACCAGGGCCAATATGGAAAATCATCCCCTTGGGGCAGGCTATGGGAGAGCATTTTTCCCACATATAATTACTGAAGATGCAAGTAAATAGCTCCTGTTGCTAAAGAAAAGCTATCCATCCCTTTGCCCCTGCACCAAATCCACTCCACAGCCATCCCTACTGCCCCCACAATCCCCCCAGCACACTCCTAGAGTCCTGGCCTCAGGTATAGTTCAACTAGTCACATAAGGCCACACAGCTGGTGCAGCAGCACCAAACCCCAGGTGATTCTGGTGCCTAAAACGCAGACTAGGACCTTATGTAAGTGGGAAATGAGCCGAGGCAGCAGGAAGGGGCTTTGGGTTAAGCCTGCCCTGAGGGATTTGTAGCGAGGCCAACAGGACTCAGACAATCCTTCTGGCAACTGTCACTCATGCCCAGAATGACCTTTGGTTGCTGGGTGCAATCTGCCCAGACACAGTCAGGCTAAAGGGGGCAACCCTGGGCCCTTCTAGTCCTAGGCTGATAAAGGTGAGGACAAGCGACTCAGAGGGAGTCTTTTCTGGGTCTGCTTGGGGGATTGTGGCTCCTTGAGACTCTGGAAGTCACAGAAATGGAGCTGGAGTGTGGCCTGAGCAGAGGAAACAAACCACTGTGTCAGAGCAGAAACAGGAGCAGCGCCTGGGAAAGGAGGCCACTGAGGCTGAGGAGTTACTGGAGCTGAGCAGAAGCATCGCTGTTCTTTGTCCCCGACATCCAGACATGGGCAGGAGAGCGCAGCCTCGGGGCAGATTAGGACCCAAGCAAGTGCCACTGAGCAGGACTGGCTGCGGGGGGACACAGGGAGCAAGCAGCGAGCCTGGACGCGAGCAGAAGCGCGGGAAGGAGGGAAGACAGGGCGGGGCGGACTCCGAGACCCTCCCGCTCCGGGAGAGGGGGACCCTCGCCCGGGCGCTGCGGCAGGAGCCCGAAGCTACTTACTCTGGCGCCGCCGCCGCCGCCTCCTCAGAGGACGACGACGAGCCGGTCTCTTCCAGGTCGCGCGCCATCCCCGCGGGCATCTCCTGCGGCCGCGCTCATGCGGCCCCCGTCGGCACGCTGTCCCCGTTGGCCACCTGCGGGCACGGAGCTGGGTGAGTGGGGCTGAGTCGGGAGGGGGAAAGAGCGCACGGGCTGCCTCCACCCCCCCCCCCCGCGGACCTGCACCTGTTGCCTCATGTCCTCGCACGCGCGGCTCCAGCCAGCGCTTCCCCGGTTACTACAACAACCAACAGGCAACCGCCCCACTTCCCTCCACCCGCTACTGCGCAGACGCGAGTGCAACGCCCTCATTGGCTCCTCCTGCCGCGCAGGCGCAAACGGCGCCTTTCCACGCCCTCTGCTGAGTGCGCGCGCGAAACTGGTGCTTCCGCCTCTTCCAAAATGGCGGCGAGACACGGCTGGAGCATCGAGAGAGAGAGGAGGGGAGAACACCGCCCCTGACGTCACCGAGCGTGAGGGGTGGGGCCCCTGCGTTGCTGCATTTGATTGGGGCAGGGCGCTAGCGTGTGAGTGGAAGCGAGCCCGCGAAGCCAATCAGAAGAGAGGCAGGGCTGGGCAGGAGCCAATCAAGAAGTAGGGGTCTGGGAGATGAGGAGTAAGGAGTGGTAGGTGTGGCGGGGCTGGGAGCAGGTGCGAGGGCAGGGGACGGGGCGGGGTCGCTCCTGGCTCCCGGGCTCAGCGCAGCATCAGCCGGCGCTGCCTGGCGGCCCCGCGTGGTCTTCCTGCCCGCTGCAGCCCTGGGCAACTCCGGCGTGTAGGGCGGAGGGGGGAACAGGCTTCACGCGGCGCTGAGCTCCGAACTCTAACGTGTCCCTGAGCAGGCGACCGCGGGCACAGGGATGAGCCGCTTTCTGAACGTGCTGCGCAGCTGGCTGGTGATGGTGTCCATCGTGGCGCTGGGGAACACGCTGCAGAGTTTCCGCGACCACGGCTTTCTGTCCGAGAAGCTGTACACGGACGCGCCCAGCCTCGGTGAGCAGCCCCCCGTGCCCCTTCTCCTCTGGGGCCGGGCCTGCCCCTCCAATGGGCCTCCAGGCAGCTCCAGCCCCACACTCGCCCTCCTAAGAGCCACTGGCTCATGTCTTCCTGTGTTTCTGCAGAGCGCTAGCTCCACCCCACTCCTTTTCTCACAGACCCCTCTGTTGCCTGCTGACCACTGCCTGTATCTGGGGAGGGGGGCAGTAGGTACATCTTGCCCAGCCTGCAGACATGGCCGCTGCTGTCGCCAAGCAGTGTTGCTGGGCAGCAATGCACTGTTACCTTGGTGATCCCCTCAGCATTCAAGCCACCTCTGCCCGTTTCCCTCCTTGATGTCTCTAGCTGGCAGAGGAGAGGGGCTTGCATCCATAGCAACTCCAGAAACACCCTCTCAACAGCCTTTTCATCATCTCTGAGCTCTTGTTGCTTTCTCCTGTAAGCTGTGAATGTGAGGACACTAGCAAGGAGATCTCATATGTTGCTTGGCCCAACCTGGGGAGAGGCTGATTCCTGGGAAGGAAAATCCTTGTTCCTTATCCATTCCCTCTTCTCCTTTGCACAGTGAATGGGCTTCAGGCTCGGACCTTTGGCATCTGGACCCTGCTTGCATCAGTGATTCGTTGTGCCTGTGCCATAGACATCCTCAACAAGACGTATGTAAGGGAAACATCAGAGGAGGGGGTGTCCCTTGTTCACTACATTGCACTCTTACCACTTCCATAACAGCTCCTAACTGTCCTCTTGTGGAGCAGCTCGAGGAAAGGCAGGGAGTTGAGCACTTTACTGGACAGCTTACTGAACAGCTCTTGGGGTTAAAGCAGGGGTGGGCAAAATGCAGCCCACTAAAGCCATTCTATCCAGCCCGTGGAGCCCCTAAAAATTTAGAAAATTAATATTGATCTGCCCCTGGCTGGCTATCATGTGGCTCTCAATGGCTTGCCAAAACACGGTAAGAGGCCCTCCGCCCAAAGTAATTGGCTGCCCCTGGGTTAAAGGCATTCCTTAAAGCATCAAAGAGGAAGTCAGGATGTATAGGCAGGATGTTTAATTACTTCTCCTTTAAAAAGTGAAGGGAGAAACTGCTCACTTAAACACTTCTCAGATCAGGCAGGTAATTATTGGATCTGACACAGCCCTTTAAGCCATACAATATTTCTGATGCTCTCCTTGCCAGGGTGTTTAGTTAACCCCATCGCCACCAGACCAAGACATGTTGTTTCTTTTCCAGTGGCAACTCTATTCAGGATCACATGGCCTGTAGAATGATGCACCTGGCTAGGTCTCAAGAGGGCATGTCCTTGGTTGTGTGTTTGGGGAAATAACTGGGTTGCTCAGAGGTGGGGGCAGCAGCATCTTGTCTTTGTGGCTTGAGAAGGCAGCCTGCTAGTTGTATGTGTGTTAAACAGCCAGGCTCAGCCTCTTTGCCTCCCTGTGGTGACAGCTGTGCTTCAGGCAGTTCTTGACTGTGGCTTCCATTTGAATTCATGGGGCATGCTGGAAGGGTGGCTTTCTGGGAGGGAGGATGAGAGCTGGTGGTTTGATTTCTGGTGTGTCTGTGCAAGATGTGTCAGGCCAGCTGGTTATGTCCATGGTTTGAGGGGCAGGAGCAGGGGCAAGTGACAGTTACTGTAGAGTGGGAAGGTCAAACCAGGCAGCTGTTTTCTAGGATTTTTCTTTTCTCCTTCCTGAGTCCCTAGGAAATCTCTCTTAGTTGTGGCCCTTAGAGGGCAGCAGATCCCATGTAGAAACCTTAGATGAGATGCAGGAATTGGCCAGCCCCTCCAGATTCAAGTTAACTCCATAGTCTTCCAGCATCCCAAGACATTTTGTGCCTTCCCCACAAGCCCCCTGCCTCCCCCCACACATGTGGGCACGCACACACAGTGGGCGGGCTAGACTTAGCCTAAGCTGTCTGTTCCAGCCAATCAGGGTATGCTCTAGCACCCCCTGGCTTCTGGCCTGGGCCACTGCAGGCAAGTAGCTGAATTTCTAGAATCAAAAGTAAATGTCTGTTCACTTGCTTATCAGTTCAGTCTAATCTGTGAAGATTGAATTGATTCAGCCACAGGCTTTTTGACTGTCTGTACTTAGCCTCAGAGGCTGCCCACATCAGTGTCTTTTCTCCTTTCATGGAGCACCAGTTGCTCCCACAGCCCCTCACATTGTCACCACTCCCCCATGCCCACAGACATTCCTCCTCTCTTTTCCAAGTAGGGGTGCACCAGTAGAGATTTTGAAGGCCGATACCAATAGCCGATTTTTAAGGAGGCATCTTGGCCGATACCTATCCAATTTCCAATACAGCTGTGTAGCTGGTAAGTCTGTTGTGATGGAAGAGGCATAGCGGGGGCAGATCAATGCCCCCCTTGGTGAGGGAGGGAGGGAGTAGGGTTGGGGTAGGTACTGCCCAGCTGGGGCAGGGCAGGGCAGGGCATGGGATGGAGCCGCGGCTTGTCTGGGGGGTGTGGGGAGGGGGAGCAGCTCCTGTGCACACCCCAGGAGGGCATGGGGGGGTCATGTGCCCCCTGGATCTGAGGGGGGTGGGGTGGGCTGTAGCTGGGGCTGTGCTGGGCTCTTCCCAGAGCATGGGAGGGTGGGTGCTGTGCTCCGGGCAGGTGGCGGTGACGCTGGGAGGGTGGCTATGGGGAAATCATGATGAAATTTGGGGTGGCTGCAGCCCCCCCTATAGCCCCCTTCCCAGAGCCACCACCACCTGCCCTGAGCGCAGTGCAGCCTAGCCTCCCCCATGTGCCTGGAAGAACTCAGCCTGGCCCCAGCCTGCAGCTGCAGCCCACCCCACTCCACACAGACCCAGAGGCACAAGTCTCCTTTAATGTGCTCCCAGAATATGCGCAGTGGTGGCTCTGTCCCATGCCAGTCCCAGCTGGGCAACCCCTGCCCCACTCCCTCCCTCACCACGGGGAGTGTTGATCTTCCCCTCCACCCCTTCCCTCCCCCCTCCCCTTCCACCAGAAGACTTACCAGCTGCATGCAGCTCTCCAGTCTGCCGGCCTGTGCTCCTCACTGCCTGCATGCTGCACTGCAGCTGTGTGCAAGCATGGGCATTTATCAGCCAAGTTATTGGTTGCATCAGGCCAACTTCCAATATAGTCAGTTTTCTTTACATTGGTGCTGATCCAGTATCAGACCAGTGTATTGGTACACTTCTACTTCCAAGTTCCTGCTCTGCTGCCTGCTGGTGCTCTCAAGACTATTTTTCCTTCACTGAAACCTGCCCGCTGTGAATAGGAAGGGGTGCAGGTGACGGTCATTCCCATGAAGGCATCTCAGTGAACAGCTTGTCGCTGGGACCTTTCACATTTCCCACTGCCCTCTGAGCATCTCCTGTACTGTAGAGTTGGGTTGGCCCCTGAGATCTGTCTCCCTCTACAACACTCGAGCCAAGTGTGCTGGCACACTTTGCCTCTTTGTAGTCCAATAAAGCACTGTGCCTGAGCTGCACCATCCATCCACAGAGCACAGTCTTACTGGATCCTTAAGAGCATGAGGTAGGGAAAGAGAACTTGGCACTCCCAGACACACTTCTAGTTTCCTTATCAAGTGCCATTCTTCTCTGAAAAGCAATTGTAAGGTACCATGTAGAGCCCCATAGGTAGAGACCTATTTAACTTATGGCAAGGTGAAGCTATTTTCATGGCTTGCTTGTGACACAGAGGGCCAATTTTTCCTGGGCATCTCTTTATGGCCCCACCCCTCACCACTGATTGGCAGAGACACCTTGCCATCAGCATAGTCTGTAAGTCTCAAGCACATGAGAGAGATAATGTGGCAATTCCTGCAGCCAAAGTATCTCAGTAAGGATTTGGAGAGTCTAAAAGTATTATGTGAGTAATATGCTGGTTTGGGTTTTTTTTTAGTTGATTTCACAGGAAATTGTAGCTGGACTATTTTCTAGCAATGGCAGATACTGCAAGTTAAGTAGGTCCCTACCCTACCCACAAGTGTGTCACAGTGGGATCACATTTACAAGTAAAAATCCCTTCTCTCCCCTCCCTCCACTCTGAGAATCTAGCTGGATTCTTTCCTTCTTGCACATCAGCAGCGGCAAGGGGGCCTCAGGACAAATGCTGTCCTCTGTGTTACCTCTGCAGCATCATTGCCTTGTGACTGTTTAGTGCAACAGACTGGAACATGAACAGAACTCTTATTATGACCCTGTATTGTGACTCGTCTCCCTTGGTTGGGCTGGTTCCTAAGGGATACCAGGAAAAAAAAGCTGTAGGGACTTAGTTCAATCACAGGTGCTGGCAGCTCTGACCCTGCTACCCAAAGAGGAAGGGTGGTGCAGAGTGAGAAGAGGCCATTTGTACCCAGTTACTTTGACAGGTAGAACTGTATTTTAAGGAGGATCTGAACTAGGAAAGGATTACAATTGACTCTGCCCCCATATTGGCTTATCCCAGAACCTCTCAGCCAGAGCTGGTTACAGTTTAGGCCTAACATAAACCAGAGTAAGCCTTTAACCCCTTGTTACTAAAATTATCAAAGACATTTCCAGTATCTTACTTTTCTGGCCTGTTTAGGATGAGCATGGTGGATTGTAGTAATTAGCAGGGATGAGGGCAATATGCGGTCAACAGCAGAACAGTCATAGTGCAAACAGAGCTGTAACAGTTTGGGCATGTGTTAAGAGTTCAGGGAATATTTTGAGAGGAAAAAGCCTCAAGCACAAGGGGGCTGGGAAAGGACTGGTATGTGGTTCCCACATCCTTTGGGGATTGTGGCACTGTGTGAAGAAAGACCAGCTGACTGTTTTAGTTCTCCCATCTCTTTCTGTCCCTGTCTGCAACACCTGTACCAGTCCTCTGGGCTACACAGTAACCATTCTCTCACTCTGTTCCCTGGCAGCCTCTATCACATCACCCTTTTCAGCTTCTTCGTAGTTCTGGCCCACTTCCTCGCTGAAGTGTTCATTTACCACACAGCAGCCCTGACAATCGGTGTGATGGCTCCCCTGATGGTAGCAAGTAAGTATAGCCAGAGCTCTTCCTCAAGCCTCCTCAGGGCTGGGACAGTTCAGATGATGAGGTGGGAAGGGGTAAAGCTCTTGTCCTAAGAACAGTGTTCCCTGCACCTGCTCACCTTCTATCCCTACCTCAGGTTTCTCTATCCTGGGTATGTTGATTGGGCTGCAGTACCTGGAGGTGGAAGCAGTATCACGAAACAAGAAGAGGAACTGAACTCAAAGGACCCACATGTCAAAATCACCTGCCTGCTGCCTCTAGACCTTCACTGCCAAACACCTGCTGTCTTAGGCCCAAACTGCCTCTCCTCCAGCCCTGTACATAAAAATCATAGAGGTACAGGACTGGAAGGAATAAGAATTCACCTAGTTCAACTCCATACTCGAGGCAGGACGGTCTCTGAGGCATCCTAGACACTTTCTGGACATCTCATCAAATTCTTCTTTGTTATCAACTGGTCTTATCTGCGCAGGCAACATTTTAACTGTGACCAGTGTCAAGAGTCTGTCCCTGCACAGCTGCTCTGATATCTGCCAGTACCTATCCCCATGCAGGGTGAGGCTCATGGGGATAGTGAGGGGATTTATTGTCAACTGCGCCCAGCATAGTTTAGCCAAGTTCTTCCCCAGAAGGGAGGAAGGAGTTGAAATACCCATGATCCATTGGGGATCCCTGCAGGGGAGATGCTGAGTCCAGCCCCCTGGCACTGCTGTGTAGTTTGCATGCATCTGTGTTCACAGAAACCATTTGTAATAAACCACAGAGAACTGTGCAGGATGGCACAGAGTCTTTCCTTTTGCTACACAGACTGGAAGAATCGGATCTGACTTGGGGACAAAGAGCAGCTATTTTCAACTACCCTCATCCTGGGAGGGTAAGTTGGCCCTCTTGACCTGGCAAGAGGGAGGCCCTGACTCTTCCCTTCCTCTATACTCCTGATGACATGCAAGCAGAAAAGAAGTGTCCAGGAAAACTTTGCTACTTTTTCCCCCATTCAATCTCCCATTTTCTTTGCTGGCTGGTGACATTGAACTAGCTACAACTTCCTGTCCTGTCTCCCACATGAGCAAAATGCCCAGCTCTGGACAGCAGGTTTGTGCATAATGTGTTGCTCCCAAAAGTAGACACAATATGGGCTGTGCCTCAGCTTAGGCAAGAAGTTGGTGGGGGTTGTCAGCTCCATCATTGGGCAATTCCATCTAGGAGGAGTGATGATTACAGCAGATATGGAGGAGAACAGGCAGTTACAAGTCATCAGTTGTCTCTGATCCAGGCCAGAGGTCAGCTCTGTGGAACTACCATAGCAGTCCAGGTGAGAAGGAATTGCATGGGGTCTCAGGATCAACTGTATAATGTCCATGGAGGAGCATGGACCTGATCCCTTTCCTCATCATGTCCATGCCTCCATAGGGTTTTCCACATCCACAGCTTTCCTAGAGGCAGCCCTAGTGAGACTGGACAATCAAGAAGGCCACAAGGATACAGCTGTTAAATACAAATTTTATTTAAAAATGCAAGGAATCCAGTCAACACTTTCCCAAGGTATTTTGAGATCATGTGGGCCTGAGAAATGCCCTAGTAATTAGCCAGATCATTGTAAAAAACAGTATTGCTGGAAAAGTCTGAAGTTAACAAAATCCCCTTTCCCCCTTTGAGGTGGGGTATGTTGGTCCAGGGCACCCTTTTTGCTTTAGATAAAGTGCAGGTCTAACAGGCCTGGTGCTGTAGCTTGCAAAGCCCTCAAATGGTGAGAAGTAATTGAGAAGGAAGAGAGCTGTCACCACATGATCAGTTGCTTCACCTGGCCCCAGGAACTTATGCTGCTTCACAGTGTCCAAGTATCATAGAATCATAGAAGTAGGGTCAGAAGGGACCTT